CAAGCATTAAAAATGGGTTGGTTGCCTAGTACCCTAGGCTACAATCATACACTCTGTGTCCAATAAAAACTGGTGTACATGTGACAAGATGAGGATAAACACAGTGAGCAAGTGTTATATAATCTATATAACCAAACACTGCTCTGCTTTCTGAAAAACACAGCTGAAATGTTGCAGAAAACTTCAAGGCAGGTTTTATACAGAGTGAAGACTGATCACATGGCTGGATCACACTTCTGGAGAAGAAGAACACAGCTGCAAGTTTCCATAAAAAGTTCAAGAGCAAGATATGAAGTTAAAAACCATGAAACATCATGCCTACAAGAAATGCTGTAGAAAGTCCTAGGCACATACATCAGGAAAACCAGAATCAAGCACATGGCTGCTGTACCTTTCTCCTTTATCTGGAGAGCAGTGAAGCTGTTCCAATGTGGCAAGGCTCAGCCAACTTTCTCACAGGCTCTGGTGGTTCTTGCCCAAATCTTATAATTGGGGATCCTTGGGATCATAGATTCAGGGGTGGCCACAAATCAAAATTGAGCTGATAGTAGCCAAGACTCACCAGTTTAAACACCAGGTGTGTTTAAAAGGTGTGCAGTGATACTAAAAAGGGGAGCTACTCTTTGATCTGAAAAAGCTTGTGAGGGGGGGGGGGGGGGTTTGGATAATAGCTTCTGCCTGAAAAGTTGCTCTTGTGAGCGACTGTTTTAGCTACAGGTGAGAAAACACTCAAATGTGAACAAGGGCCATTCACAATGAATGGAATTTTCCTTGAGCGTTTTGTAGCTCAAAGCTCAAAAATGCTCAAGTGTGAACGGGGCCCAAAAAGGTGCAGGTGGTGGCTCTTCAAAATTAGATTGACAAAGAACTATCCAAATTCTAGTCTTGTAGTGTAGTCCCATCTAGAACTCAGAGCCTCCTAGAAGCACCAGGGCCTTATTGATTAGAGATACAATTATTTCAGCATTCATCAATTCTGGCCAGTTACTACTTGCTAGCTATAAATCTCTTCGGATTCAATGGCCTCATCAGGAGCAAAGACAGCAGGCGCTCAAGGGAAAAAAAATAAAAAATCTAATGCTGTGGTAAAGTCTTCAGGTCATGCTTTTGGAAAGTGCTACCATCTGGAAATGTTGACCAGCTGGGACTAGTCTCTTAGAAGAAAGGTGTTGCAGACATGCACTATAATTAAAATGTCTGTTTTTTGCCTTAAATACCACTTAAGACACACATTACCCCAAAAGCTGAGAAGCTGAAACAAAAATACCACTTTAGTGAGAATTTTAAAGAAATAGAGGAACTCTGCTGGAGCACTAGTTACCAAGCACAGCAATGTTATGCAGTACACCAGTTCTGTCTCAATCAAGTGATTTACCAATCACAATGAACTGCAAAACAAGGAACCCCGGTGCAAGAAAGGGGATCAGACAGGCCAATGTGAGCACTACCCAGTCCTTTGACCACTGGAGCTACATAGTCTGTTGTGATTACTCCTGTACAAAAAGGACAGAAAAATTAAAAAACTGGTGCAAGCAAACACTGCTGGAATTGCTCCTCTCAAGAAGTCACAACAGCAATTTTGATTTTTTTTTTTTTTTTTTTTTTTTTTAAAAGCCTGTTCTACCCATCAACAGCTGCCATGAAGGGTCAAGGTAATGAAGGTGTGATCAACATGAGAGTCACCCAATTCTTCTGAAAATATCAATGAGCAGCTTATACTAATAGAATTCTGCAGAGTAAGGGCTGTGTGACCTGTGCTGAATGGAAAACCTGCATCAAATCTGACATTTTACAGTAAATTTATCTTGATGCCGCATTCCAGGAAAGGGGAAGGGAAACAAATCAGGACAAGTAAAATTAGGGTTTCTGAGTACCCTTTTCCATTTTTCCAGAAATAAATGTTTTCCTGGAAATAATGATAATCTGTTTTTTTACATAATATTTCTGACAAGGAACTCAAACTATATAACATGAAGACCTTAATGAAAGATTTAAGACCATGTAAAGTCTTAAAATTCATTCAGCTGAAGACAAGCAAATCCTGGAATATAATTCAAGTAACTTTCTCAATGCAGTTTTCAAACAAGAAAAATGCATTTCTGCCACTAGGGGCACTGCAGGGAAAGATTTCAGTTCGCTTGTGGGCTCCATCTTGTACCTCCTACAGTTGGGGTGATTGTTGGGATACAGTAGATAAGGCCTGAGGACAGAAACTTAACAGGCATGAGGTTAAAATTTGTCAAATTAGTTTCTCTAAAACCTTTAGTGTTTCCAATTAATGTTCTCCACCATCCCCATCAGCCTAATGTTTCCTTATAGCCTGGGCAGTAATTTGTTTTTTTTCCCCCTCCCCTCAGTAAGATGGGGACAAAATCTAGGTTTTGAACATTTGCACCGTGCAATCTGAAAATATTGTGAAAAAAAAAAAAAAAAAAAAGTTTTCCAAAGGCTTATATTTCTGGAAATTTTACCTCCATGTATTTATATGTAAATTCAGAATTCTGCATTATATAAAATAACCAAATGGGAGATGTGAATAGGTCAGAAGGAAAGATTAACCAGTACATGTATATGGGCTCTTTGGATTAAGAGCTTTATTAAAATGACTACTGTCCGTTAAAGTGAAAGGATGACAAGCCTTTATTTTTTCCACTTTTATTATACACGCAGTTACTATCACAAAATAGTTCCCTTGTAAGTAGAATGCTCATTAAATACAGCTGGTTCACAAAATAAAATGAAAACCTCCTAAAAGAAGGATTAAGAAAACAAATCTATTCCTGTTTGCAAAACAAAAACTATTTTGAAAACCTGTAGTTTCAACATCTCCAGATGTTTGGCTGCACCATACTATGGCAATACCATTGCTTTGAGTCACATAAACAGTACAACAGAAACTCTGCAAAATTTCTTACAAATTCTTAAAAAAAGGGTAGGGCCAAATGTATGCGTCAGATATTTAAAGATCCTTGAACATCTTCATACCTTCAGTAACGTCCTAGAAGAAAAAAAAATAAAGTTTGTATTCCAACCTCAATATCTTTTCGCCACCAGTTTTTTACACAGATATCAGCCTTCAAAAAGGAAGTATTGGTTTCTATGAAAAATTTTCGTCAAACACCACACAGCAAGGATAAAAAAAAAAAAATTATCCCCATTCAGGAACTGCATTGTTAAATATTTGATAACTGGCACTCCAGACAATAATGGGGCGTTCTTACCTTGCAGGAATTTGTTTGTTTTTTTTAATAAAAAAAGTGTGAGATATACACTCACTGGCCTCTATTAGGTACACCTGTTTCATTGCTTGCCAACACAAACTGCTAATAAGCCAAAATCACATGGCAGCAAATCAATGCATTTAGGCATGTAGATGTGGTGAAGGATGACTTACTGAAGTTCAAACTGAGCATCAGAATAGGGAAGAAAGGGGATTTAAGTGACTTTGAACGTGGCATGGTTGTTGGTGCTAGACTGGCTGGTCTGAGCATTTCAAAAAATGCTGATCTACTGGGATTTTCACGCACAACCATCTCTAGGGTTTACAGAGAATGGGTTTTTTTTTGGATTAAGTCTGAGTTTCGATTTCAGCTGTGACATTCAGATGGCAGGGTTAGAACTTGGTGTAAACAACATGAATGAATGGATCCAACAGTTCAGGCTAGTGGTGGTGGTGTAATGGTGTGAGGGATATTTTCTTGGCATACTACAGTGTACCCATCTTCTGATGGCTACCTCCAGAAAGATAATGCATCAGGTCACAAAGCTCAAATCATCTCAAACTGGTTTCTTGAACAAGACAAGGAGTTCACTGTACTCCAATGGCCTCCACAGTCACCAGATCTCAAGCCAATAGAGAACCTTTGGGATGTGGAGTGAGAGATTCGCATCATGGATGTGCAGCCGACAAATCTGCAGCAACTGCATGATGCTATCATGTCAATATGGACCAAAACCTGAGGAAGGTTTCCAACACCTTATTAAATCTAGGCCATGAATTATTAATGCAGTTCTGAAGGAAAAAGAGAGAGGGGGGGGGGGGGGGGGGGGAGAGAAGATGTCTAACCTGGTACCAGCAAGACGTACCTAATAAAATGGTTGGTGAGTGTATAGAGACACACCAACTTGAAGCCATGGTTACCCAGCTTCTATAAAATGTGCTTAGTAATCATCAGTGCTTTGTGGCTTATTATTCTTAACAGGCTTATTGCACTCTAGGATAGAAGCTTTACAGAACCTCAGTTAGAGGGTAAAGCCCAGTCCCACAGTAACATTTAACTGCCATCATATACTGAACAAAAATATGATCTTTACTGGTACTCTCAAATCTACTTACCTGGCCAGAGCACCCCACCACTTTGTACATGGCAACCCTGTCAACATTTGCAGACAGGCCTTTCATAAGAATGGGAAACCCTGCTAAAGATGGGTACACACACTGGCCGAAATCCACACGAAAGCAGTTAGCTTGGCAGGAACCAGACAGCTTTTTGGTCTGATTTACAGCTGTCTGTTTTTTTCCAGCATGTTCAACCTGAGGCAGTTGTAAGACTGGCTTCTCTAGAACAAACATCTGATATGTGCTGGCACCCAATTCAGTTAACTCCCAATTTCCAGGCCTAGGCAAATCTTATACATCCCAAGATTCTTCAGGAGGGGCTCTCAGCCAAGCACACCCTCCTGCCTGAGCCAAGGGCAGTTGGATTTCAGAAAGTAAATGATACATGAATCATCTGCCCTTACTCAAGATGGTCACTGACAGAAATCCTAGGGGGGTGTTTTTCAAAGTGATTTTTTAGGAAAATAAAGCATGAAGACATGGATGGGAGAGTTTGCTTTGAATATTAAAAATGAATTCAATTGTGTTTTTTGTGCTCGCATGTAGTCTAATTCTTTATGGTTAGGTCACCCAAAACTTTTTTTTTTTATCCACATCAAGATAGAAAATTTCTTACAAAACCTAATAAAGCCATGAACACATTGTTAAAACACTACTCACTTGGACTGTATGAGCGGGACCTTGATCTAGATCTGTATCGGCTGTAGTATGGAGATGGTGAACGTCTCCTGCTAAAAAAAAGAAGAGGATTTTGAAACAATTTTTCTCTACAACTTAAACTTTGTTCATGATCAAATGGGTCTCTCACATTAACTGATAAGATAATTACTTCTCTGATGCAGAAAAACACATACTAAAATTAAATTCTCCCACAGCCAAGTCTAAAATTATGCAAAGTTACGGCACAAAAAAACCCCCCAAAAAAAACAACAGCTTGTTTTTATCTACAGATGCCCCTTCTCTGCCAAAAACCTATGCAAAGGTGTATTAACCCTTTAAATTTGCTGCCTACAGGTGAAAGACCATGGCGAAAAACCTGATACAAGTTAACCCCAACCAGCATGCCTGAGCTTTGCAGCAAAGTAGTACTGAAAGCCCGATCATACAGAGGGTGGTGCCCAAGTTTCCCAATGTACTCAAAAAAATTCAATGGACACAACTAAACCAGTCCAACTGGGGGGGTGGGAAAAAAACCAACAGGACCAAGAGGTGTAAAGAGCTGCCTGAAGGATTTTAACACTAGAAGCTAGGACCAAAACATCCATCAGTGAGAACAGATGACCAGATGGCAGCCTTTAAAATCACAAAATCTGGTCTGCTTGAGCCACCAACAGATTGTGGATTGAGTGCATCCTTATGGGGTCCACACTGTATTCCAAAAAAGGTAATTGGTTTTGAAAAACAGGGGCTAGAATAATCTCACAGCCCAAAACCCATCTAGGACTATGGAGGGAAATGCTCTAAGTGAACTGTAGCCAAACAGTGGAAAAGAACAAGGTCCTGGTTGAGGTGGAAGGCAGAAACTACCTCAAGCAGAAAGTCAGTCCTGTGGTTCAACACCACTTGCCTGTTCAGATAACCTCTCCCTTTTAGGAGGTAAAAGGCTGTAAGAACCACCACCCCTGTGGGTCACAATACAGAGGTGAATGTCTAATGGGATCAAACTGTGCAATCTGATTCTCTGTACCTCAAAACCACCAAGGCATAGGGGAATGGCAAGTGGGAGCTAAATAGGAGAGACCCCTTGCTCAAAAAGGTGTCAATCGTCGAGTAAGGCCAATGGTCTCTGAAACAGAAAAAAAAAAACTGGAACCAGATAGAGGTTAACGCAAAAATATTGGCAGACCCAACTGCTGGAATAAAACTCCTAATGTGGAAGTCCCAAAAGACACCAATTGATGTATGGATTCCACATACAAATATGGACCCTGCAAGAAGAAGCCTTCCACATCACTGCCATTAACCCCAGAGACAGTCTCAAAATCTGGGCTTCAGCAGCCATATTGCTAAGACCAGAAAAAATGTGAAACATGATAAATTAATTAGTCCCAGGAACAGAAGAGGCAGGAGATCTGCAAGAGCTCAGAGCATCTGACAGAAGTCAGATAAGGTTAGCATTCAACATCCACCTGGGCCAGTAGATATGAGGATCACAGAATCCCCTCCACTATTCAATCCTCTGTCTTTCGTCATACTTTAATTGAAAGCATACCTGTACCTGTAGTCATATTCTTCATATCTCTCATAGCCCCGTTCATATCCTCTCTCTCCTCTGTCTCCTCTGTCACCTCGGTCACCTCGGTCTCCTCTGTCATAATACTCTCGACGACGTCCACTGCTACCACTAAAAAATAAAAAAAAAGAATTAAAAAAAAAAACGAAATTTGTATGGAATTAATGTGAGCCTACTTGGTACAGGGGGTGTACTGCCTCTGCTTATGAAGCAGTTTAGCGGTGCAAGAAGACTCACTGTGTGGGTCGTCCCATGTAAATGCCTGGGGTGGGAGTGTGCGCTCGCTTTGTTATCGAATAGTCTACACGAATCCTACGGCCATCCAGTTCCATACCATTAGCATGTTCCATTGCCTAGGGACGCAACATTGCATTTGGCACCAGCAAATTTGTTTCGATTTTAATGGCTAACCTCCGCTAAAGAAACTAGTAATGTGAACGGCTCCTTGGCAAAGCAATTACGTGTGGATTATGGTTTATTGATAATGGGGGTGTGCTCGACAGACAACGCATCCCAGCTTCTATGCCAGAGTGAGGCGAATCAGTCAGAATAGCAGTTTTCTCCTCAAGGAGACAGAACTTTACCTTAGATCTTTGTTCCTGAAGCCAAAAAAAAAAAACAAAAAAACTTTAGCATCCAACACTTTCAGGTTTGTCCCCTTACTACCCACCAGTCACTACTGCTCAGCAGGAGACCAAGAATCTAACAACCAGAAGGGACAAAGTAAAGACGTAATGCTTTCTGGTCAAAGCATTAAATCTTCCCGGCAGCGCGCCATTTCGGCATGCATACTGTTGCAGCTGGGAACAATGACATAGGGAGAAGCAACCCGTGAGCGCACACCTCAAGCATATTCACCATCTGCCACCTAGAGGCTGCCGATTACAACTACAGAACTTTGATATGTTGCTTTCACCAATTGAGAAGTCATTGATTGCAGTTAATCATAGCATGGGTGATGTACAGTGTTAACCAGAATTTATATAAAGTTAGACACCCTGATCTGGGATAATGATAGCAAGTGTACCTAAAAACAGGTTTCAAGCAACACACGCAAGCTTGATAAAGGCAGTGCAAATTTAGTCAAAATAGCTACAACTTGCTGTATTTAGATCTGTCAAGTAAATTTAAAAAAAAACATCTCAGCGCTCAGTCAGTGGAGGGGGGGGGGGGGGGGGGGGTGTTCGTTGGTGAGATAGAAAAGGAAGATGAAAAAAAGAAAACCAATAAATAAAAGCCCAACTAGCTTATGATGCTGGGCTGCATAGAGCCAGTCTCCAGAAGGGCCTATAGGTGAAGATGGCAAAGTGCTTTAGAATTATTTAAATCAGGATGCTGGAGGTTAAATAAGTGGGACAACTTTCAGGCACCCAGATCAGGGAGGGATGTGTAGCAGCACATGGAGGAAAAAAAAACAAAACGAAAAAACCCCACATTGCTAGGAGTGCAGGATTAAGCAGCAAGATCCATTTAATGAAAAAACATATTGACACTTGTACTTGGAAAAGGGGAGAGGGAGATGGTGTTATCAGATGGGCGAGATGACAGGCAACCGCTGACACAGGGATACAAAGCCAGCAATAGTGAAGCCAGACCGCCAGAACAACCGCAAGCGGCGGCCAGCTCCACGGTTGCTGGCTTTGTATGCCTGTGTCAGCCGTTGCCTGTCATCTCGCCCATCTGATACACTATCTCCCTCTACGTGCAAGCTGCATTATCCTTTCCTAAATGTGGATCTTTCAATAAATTGTTCCCATTTTTAATTAATTCTGCACTCTGACAATGTGTTTTTTTACCAAGTAAAATGTAATGTGTGCTTGTGAGTTTTACAGGATATGCCTATTATACTGCTAACTAAACATAAGTGTGTGCAGGCCGCAAGTGTGCATTTTTTTTTTCAATATAGCTGTTGAACCTGTCAATAAAATATTCAATATTCTAGATTAACAGCACTTAATTAGCAACACTGCCCTCTCTGTAGGTACAAGTGGCAGAAATAAGAACCCCAATATTTCTGTTGTGCCAGATTCTTCTTTCCAGCTGTCGTTTGCTGCTCTTTCCACAGCTGTTACTTTAGATGTAGCTTATGGCTGAGCCTGTGGGAGAACAGTCTTCATTCACAGCTACAGCATATGCTAACACATGGCTTTGGGGTTGTGATCAGGAGCAGCGCTCCTGCACACATCCTCACGCTGTTTACATATGCTGAAGCTGCCTTTGTCAGAAGTTCTTACTGCTCAGCTGTCCAATGCATTCCATTAGGTTGTGTGAGGAAGACCTACTCCTAACGTTAGCTTCAGCACTCCTTTATGTTTGGCGAGACTTCATTGTCCGTTCTGAGACTCTGAATGAGAACTGCTGCACTTGATGTGTCAAGTAGCCAAGACGTTGTGTCAAAGAATCTGACACACCCAATGTTTCGGACCCTCAGGTTCCCCCCCCCCCCCCCCCCGCCTTTAAAATTGAAGTAATAAGTGGTTACCCAGAAGGGGCAATGTTAGTTACAAATAAAGCACCACCTTATCAACATGGTGTACATTTTGGTGACAGGATCTCTCAGCTACTTCTAAGTTAGACATATCGAATTGGTTATAACTAGCACCATATAGAAGAGAGGTTGTTTTCTGTTCTAATAAACAGCATCTGTATACTGCCCATTGCTAAAGCAGGATGTAGGAGACCATAGCTTTTAGGACAGGCAAGTATCCAATCCATCCAACTCTACCTAAAACAAAGTTTTGGCTGGACATGCACTTTAACATTGACTTTAGATCATCTGTACTGTCACCTATGCTTCAGATACTTGCCTGATGCTTTACTGTACAGCGACAGCTACCAACTGTTCATACAGCGTACCGTGAAGCAGTCTTATTCACGAGTGTTAAAAGCTGAAAGATCTACCAAAGGCTTTAGCAAACATGTGGGGCATGAGCAGGGGACAGGCCAAGTATTAGTGCTCTGCCTGCCCCCCCCCCCCCCTTTATTTGGCAAAGGGGACACTTTATGACCCACTTAATTACGTGTTTTACTTACAAATGCTCAAGCTACACCACAAATTTTGCTTGCCAGGTCATTGCAAAAACACAAGCCACAAGAAAAATAGTGGCCCAAACTGCTTATCTGAAATTCTTGCAGTTTAGTCCAATTACTGACTTGAAGCATGCAGTCAGAGAAAAGCGCAATCTGAATTTTTAGGGGTAGATTTATAATGGAAAGTGGATATCATGATACTGGCACCATGCCCCATTCATAAATCGCAGCCACTTGGTGTAGAGCCTGCAATGCCCAATAAAGTTCTCTGCCCAACAGCGCAGAGCTCACAAATTGCTAACTGCTCATGTGACAGATCACATGACCGGCCTCAAGTCTACATTTAGAAGTGTAGCACTCTGCTAACTTCAAGTCCTAACTCCAGCATAGCACTAAGCACATACCTCTTTATACATGCGGTGATCGTGGGCCAGGGGATGCACACCGACCTGCAGGTGCCGTGATTCGGTGCCCAAGGGATCAATCATCCAATTTAGGCCAGTGATGTTCGGCCTGAATCAGATCGATCCCTACCTTATCAGGGATCTTCCTGTACCTATGTTTACACTTACACAGGTACAGGAAATTAGGCAATCTCTCTGGGCACATTCCATCCCAGAGAGAAGAAAAAGACAGAGTGAGAAAGAAAAAACAAAAAAACAAAAAAAAGAAACCACTACAAAGTTACACATTTAACCCCTTGACTCTTCCCCCCCCCCCCCCCCCCCAGTTAACCCCTTCACTGCCCTGTCACCAGTTTCAGTACAGTATACAGATTTTATTTATTTTTTTTTTAACACTGATCACTATTCGTCTCACCGGTGACTTCAGATAGCATTAGTACCCCTCCCAGATAGCGTCAGATTGCCAGTCATTACACCAGTAAATCACATCTAACCCCTTGATTGCCAGGAACACAAGCCTCCATTGCTAGTATAGTGTCTGAACAGATCAATATCTTTGATCAGATCAGCACTACACCAGCGTTCACATTAGCGTACCCAAAAATGCAGCGTTCGAGGGATCAGCCCCGGCACCTGCGTTTAGCCCCTACGCTTACACCCCCCAGAGCAAGTGCAGTGTCATTAGATCACGGTCATTTGATACATTGCACACAAAACCGGTGTTTGCAGAATCAGGCCTGATCTCTGTTAGCACTTGCAGGTAAACTTTTTTTTGTAGCGGTTCAAGCAGTCCCTGACAGCTGGGTGCTCTTTTTTACCCGTGCGTCGCACTAGGTACTTATAAATTTAGTGGCCAAAATGTCCAATGAAAAGGTACTCTAGGGAAGAGGCCTACAGGATTCTGAGCATGTCAGATGAGAGTGAAAGGGGAAGCCTCACTGACAGAATCCTGTAGACAGCAGCGGCACCCTGACCAATATCTCAGACTATGAAGCAGAGGTACCTGCTAAGGTCAAGCATACCAGACCACATTCCCAGGTTTGAGATGTTACAGCCGCATGACTCATATGCTGCACAGTGCCCAGTGCCGCTCTACCTTTTGGTGAGCTGGCGAGCACCAGCAGCCTAGTACATCCTGGTCTTTCATACCAGCACTGCAGTATCACTTGGTGACGTGGGGAGTCCCATAAGTGCAGTACAAGATGGTGCGGTGGTTAGCACAATTAGTGTCCCGCAGCCACCAAGAACTTGCACACAAGCCTGTAGAGCCCCTAGCGTCCTTCTGGATGTGCTTGCAAATCCCGATTGGCAGCCCACAAATTCTGAAGTACCCGCACTTCCCCCACCCACTACCCAACCCGGAATTCAGTCGAAATCAGCAAATTTAACTACTCCTTGATTTTTTGGAGCAGTTTTTCATGGGAGATCTGTATGCATGGATTGTGGATCAAAGCAATTTATATGTAAAACAGTTTATAGCCAACTGAAATTCAAACCTTGCCCGACCATCTGCATGGAAATCCATTACGGTTTCCAAACGTGAAGTTTTTTTGGGGGGGGCCTAAAAAAAAAAGAAAAAAAAAAAAAAAAAAAATATTGCGGTTGTATTGGTCCACAGACCTAACTCATCATATGCCTGTGTTCTCTGTTGCCATGTCCAGGCATAGATCACTGTCATCCTTGGGGGTGACCCTGAATTTGATCGGCACCGCAAAATTCAGCCCCTTGTAAATCACCTTAACCAAAATTTTGCAGATATCTATACTCCCCAGCAACACATCTGTGTTGAGTTGCTCAGTTTTTATGGCCACCTTGCATTCAATTTCTCCCCAGCAAGTGTGCCACATATGGGGGTCAAGTTGTATAAGACCTGTGAGGTCAACAGGCTATACACAGAAGTTTCGGATTTACGAGGGAAAGAGGAGTCACGTGGAGACCCCTGGATGCCCAGACTACATGGGGAGTAGTGGCAAGATAGTTCGGGACTTCGTATCATCCTTTTTCCATATGGGGTACCACCTATACTTGGACAATTTTTATTCAAGCGTGCCACTAGATATTTGTACAATCCTGGAATTGGCACATGTGGCACCGTGCGACCGAATCGCTGGTGCTTCCCCAATGGCTTGTAAATATCAGTCTTCGAAAGGGGGAAAGTCTGCTTAAGAAATGAGATTGCTCACAGTGAAGTGGAAGGACAAACCCCCCCACGGGATGTTTTCATCCGGTCTTCCATTCCACACAGGACACGACTATCCAAATTGCCAAGGCAGCTGGTGTTGAGCCACCCCTGTGTCCACGACTATAACCTTCTTAACATAGGAGGGGTGGACTTCCAATGACCAGATGAAGCAGCCATACTTAGTTTCCTGAAAAGCCAGACTGGTACAAAAAGTGTGTTTATTTCAATTGGCTTTATATAATGCTTTCATGCTTTAGAAAGCAACTGGGACATAGTGGATCCTTCCTAAAATTCCAGGAAGAGATCACAGCTCTTGCGTATCCAGAAGGTGCTATGGCCCAAATCCCCCAACCCAGGTGAAGTTAGCTGGCTGCATGAGAGACATGTTCCCAATGTCATTTTTAGTACCCCAACCCAAAAGGACATTCTAAATAAAGATGTTGTGTCTGTAGTAGACACAGAATTAGGTGTGAACACTAGCTTGTGTCCCTCCTGTCTTAGCCAACCTGGTCTCTGCCTCAAGGACTGCTTTTGTCGCTACCACACACTAGTGGAGTATTTGTATAGGGTACAGCATGGCACACTTCAGGGCAGATATTTGCACAGGATCTCGAAAAGTTGGGTAGTCCGGAAACTGGCTATCGCATATTGAGACACCCTACTATCTGGTTAAAGTTAAACAAACAAACCCAAAAAATTTAAAAGGCTCAACATGCCTCTCAGATAGCTTAGGGCGTCTACTTTTCATAGAGGGGTCATTTGTACTGTCCTGGTACCCAACAAATGTGATAGGTAGTCAAAGTAAAAGCTGTGTAAGTTACAGAAACTATACCATAGTTTGTAGATTCTATAGCTTTCACACAAAATATGCAGTTATTGGGATTTTTTTTTTTTTTTAACCAGACATGTAGAAAAATACATTTTGGCCTAAATTTATGATGAAAATGGAATTTATTGGATATTTATGACAGACATTAGAACATATCGGGGGTTTCCCCCAAAATTTTTAGTATGTTTATAGCGCAAAAAATAAAAGCGCACAGGTAATCAAATACCATGAAAGCTCTATTTGTGTGAAAAAAAGGACATGAACTTAGTCTGGGTACAGAATTGTATGACCGCGCAATTACCAGCTGAAATAGCACAGCGCCAAAGAGCAAAAAAAAAAAAAAAAAAAAAAAAAAAAAAAAAAAAAAAAGAAGGGGGCCCGACGAGCTGCCACACAGGTTTTTCACCTTAATGCTTTTTATACATTAGGGCTTTAGAAGCATTAAGTAATGGTACAGCCATTCACCAAAACTCCTTAGGTCTATGTTCACTTCAGATTATTGAAACAAAGTTGATACATAAACATATAGCAATGTTAAAAGGAAATATCAGCCATGGCAGCCTACATGTTCTCAAGAGAGGCTTGCTTTAGCCTAGGTTCACAGTAATGCGATGCAGGAAAAGCCACAATCCCTGTGCGTTTCTTGCACTGCACTCCAATTGCACTGCCCTTGCGATCCTCTGTAGTGAAACACAAAGTTAGCGACACCCCAAAAGCAGGTTGTAAAAGGCAGTGCATTTGCCTGCAGTGGATCGCATGATACAAAACCATGTGATCTGGTTGCAGCGCAGCTCCAAAAGATGCATGCATGCCTTTGGAGCAGTTTGGGCCCATTCAAAATGGATGGGATTTAAGTGCATCGCACTGAATCGCATGTGACTTGCACAGGAATGGGGTGCAGTGTGAACCGAGGCTTGTCATGATACCACATGTCCAAAGTTTGACCTCTAGATCTGCAACACACATAAGCAACAGTCTCTAGTTAACAGAAGAGACCATTTTATGGTATTTGTCACCCTTGACAAGCTACATAATAGGTCTATGGATGTAATAGGTTTGTGCTATATGAATCAACAAACAAAACAAACAAAAACAGACAACCACGCACAAAAAAATAAATAAAAACCCCATAAACTCACTGCTCTGGAATCGTCAATTCTCTCAAAATAAACAAATGCAAATCCTCTTGACCGTCCAGTTCGTTGATCATATACTACATTTACACCACCAAGGGGACCATAACGTGAAAACACCTCTCTTAGATCTCTCTCAGTTGTGTACAAGCTCAAGCCAAAGACTCCAACGCAAGTGTTAGGATCTGGGTTTGCCTAAGAAAAGCAAATAAAATGTACAAGAAAATGAAGGTTTACCAAAAATAAATAAAACCCCACACAGATTTAACAGTCAGAAAATTTAACATAACCATACCCGACTACCATTATGCCGCCTCCTATTAGACATTGGCGAGTGACTGCGGCTCCTCCTCCTCCTATATTCTGGAGTATAGGATCGGCTTTTTTGAGCGCCTTCTGTGTGAACGGGAGCGAGACCTGGAGCGGGAATATCTTCTATGTGAACGTCTTCTGGACCGTGATCTGAAAATAAAGAAACATGCAGGTCTCTACAGACATCTTCCACAGACTTAATACTTCAGTGTCAATTTTCAGACAAAACTGAAGGGTCGATTTATAAACTCCCTCAATCCAACCTATCAGGCTCTCTAAAAAGTTCACACTTCACCTCCATTTATTTTTTAACATGCAGAGCGTGGTGTAGCCTTGTGCTCTGCAGCGTTTCCTGCAAAGAACACCCGCAAAACAGAATAGTGTTGTCACGCAATTTTAAATTGGTCAATTTGACCTCCTTCCCCAAACAAGTATGATCAATGTTTTAGGAGACTAGCTCCCAAGAAGGAACACACTTTTTCCAATCTTCACTAGCTAGCCTCATCAGCTCTGACACTTCAGGACATATTGAAGGGCAAGTATGTTTTGCAAATAATCTGAGATTGTGTAGTTCCTAAACAGAAGTGCGTGGTGTGTAGTTCCTGAACAGAAGTGTGTGGTGTGTAGTTCCTGAACAGAAGTGTGTGGTGTGTAGTTCCTGAACAGAAGTGTGTGGTGAGTAAGTATTAATCCTTGCAATTTTTTTTTTCGTTTGTTTTAAAAGAAGCATCTTAGGAGGAAACATGCTAGAGAACAGTGTGAATTGTAATGACAAAAAGGAACAGAGTGCACCAGAGTGGGCAGCATAGCCATGCAGAGGGTATGACAGGGCAGTATATAGAGTGCATTGGACAGTGCAAAGGGTACAACTGTTCTGTATGTGCAGGAGAGCAGTGTGGAGTGTATGATGGGGAAATATGAGCAAGGAATTGGAAGACTAGGAGAATCAGTGTTATATCCTCACAGGTTAACAAGGCGGATAGTGAAGGGGGTTGAACTATTCTCCCCATAATGCATAGCGATAAAAACAAAGCTTCAAGGATGGGTTCTGTGGGACTGTCTAAACCTCTCCCCTATTTATCACACACACCTTTAGTGGTTAGGACAGAATTCGTATTTGGCAGCAAAATGGTTTAAAACAAGCTCCATTTTACAGGAACACAGAGCTTGTTTTTAAATCTGCTGACTGTTCCCTAAAATGTGTTGGGTATCTGTTAAGCCACGCATCACTTTGTAACAGTGCTGCTCCTAGCAACTGGCTTGCTCATGGTCTGACTGGAGTAAAATATACATTTACCAAAAAGACAAAAAAATAAAGCCACTTACCGAGATTTTGACCTTGATCGGGAACGAGACTCAGACCGCTTTGAAGCTTTTGACCCACTGCGAGAATGAGACCGACTTCCAGATTTTGCACGGGCAGCACTTTCAGTAGGTGACCTGGTGCGGGAGCGGGATGCCTAACAGAACAAAGAAAGCTTTAAAAAAACATCTGAAAAGTTCTAAAGAATGCCTACCTTGGTACAGCGAACACAAATGGATATATAAACCTGGAAAATAAACGGTTAGGTTACAAATATTAACCCTTTAAAATTCTGCTTTTAACCCACTCTTTCCACTAGGCACCCTATTTTGTACCAGATGACCAAATTTTTGGTTAACTAAAATCATGCAAATGCATTAATTTGATCATACAGACACTGGAACATAAACCATACATTTACTTAACCTAGGACCCATTCATTCTTCCAGATTCTTTTAATTCTACGCCACTCTTGCTTTAAACTTTTCTTCATTCTTCATTTTTTTTTTCATTTTTCAACTTCGTGTATTCTTCCCCAATTCAACCAATTCATTAAAGCCTTAACATGTTCAGCTTCTATCTGAACAATCTTCTGTTCAAATTTTCCCCCAAATGAATTTTTCTGATCTTTACAATTTTTCATTAGCCTTCTTTTATCTTGCCTTCTCTTCAACATTCTTGGAATAAACTCTTCCATCTCTTCACGAATATTAACCTTAATGGAAAAAGAACATTTAGTATATTTATTAATAGAGCGACTAAATACTCTTCTGTGGCACTGAAATTACGAAAAGCCAGCAGGTAGAGTATAGACAAGTCTGGTATTTTTGCCAGGGTGAATAACCCATATCTTTCCATAAAAGTCACCACAACTCCCTCAAAACACATCACCTACTTTAGTTACACTACCCTATCCTCCTTAAAATGACAGTATCAGAAACCACAGTATTTTTTTATTTGCAAACCCCCCCCCCCCCCCCCCAGGGTTCTTCACTGCTAGCCTCCTTCAAATCTTACCCACACTGCTTAAAAAGGCACATGTTCTTATGTACCATTAACTAAATCAGCCTCAACTCAAAAGTAGGCAGAACTTCATGTGTGCCGATTTTTAATGGCCCTGAAGATACCCAGGTTGCCAAAATATATAAATCTCACGCAAAGGTTGCCAGTCATCCTGAAGAACCAGTGAAGGCTTTTGGCAAACATTGAGATTTGCATGTTAGAGCAACCTTCATTTTCGAGCTTGCGACACTCTGAAATGGTACATGCGAGAGCTTTGCCAAAAGAGGTCAGTCTAGTTGGGTGTACATATTGGCAATTGTACTTTAGGGAACAGAAAGGTTTTACATCCTAACCATAGTTTGACAGAGGCTTGTTAAAGTAGCTTTCAGATGGGGCAGATACCGTCCTGATCAGCAGGGGGATCTGCTCACAGATCCCGATAGGAGCAGTGGGCATGACACATCCACATCTCTTTAATTTATGCAGAGTGGACACAGACAGAACCTGCTTGGCTGTATGAACGGCCTTGTGTAAATGGACTTGTGTCCCTTTACAGCCAACTACCCTCTGACCTACGTAATTTTTCGGACTGGATGGGACCCAGAGGTAGGTGGGTATAAACAGACATCCGTTTACACCCACCTTTCCATAGGGGTGAATGGAACATCCAACCAGGTGCACCTGAAAAACTGACAGGCAGACCTTATCCATACTGTTAAAAGGTGAAGAAAAAAACAAAACAAAAAAAAAACAAAAAAAAAAACCACACAGTCTAAGACTTCTACATCCACACAACTGGTGGATCGAGGGGTCCTCCATCCCATTGCTACAATATATTTATATATGCTGTAAAAATACAGCGATAAGTAACCAACTGGTAAACATTTTCCAGCATGTTCGTTGGACAGAAGTCAATCTAATGATAGATTGTCAAACAGGTGGGCCACACAGATCTAAAAACTGCTGGTCCTTATTATGACCCCAAATTATGATTGGGGTCATAAGGTAAAAAAGAAATAGCAGCCTAGAACTAGTAAAAATCTGTCAAAAAAAGGTGGGTCATCTTCTGGGGGGGGGGGGGCTGGGGGGGGTATGGACTATTTATTCAGCTCAGTGAAACGGTGTTCCCTAATCATGTGCTAGCAATCCTGTACCAACATTATTTCGTACACGACTGGGTATTCAAAGTAAACTGGCTCGTCTCACTTCTGCCAAGTCAACAGCCTCTAGTTCTTTAAGAAACAAGTTAATGTACACACGCTAGTTGAACACTGGCTTGTTAAAATAAAAAGTACAAACAGGTGGAGTATCCATTGAAAGATAGACCATGTCAAGCAGGCACTGATAAAAAGGCTCTGTACTATTATATATATTTATTTAAAAACAAACAAGAACAGTCGGCAAGAAGGTGAAATTAAATTTCTTTATTGTATGCAAGTAAAATTCTGGCTATAAGGTCTTTTCTGAAACGCGCTAGTGTTGGTTGCACTATGGAATTTTTTTTTTTTTTAATTATCCCCTTACAGGACATGGAGACTGCTGGTGATTTTAAGCTTTAGCTGGAGAAATTCTAACCAGGTAGCAGCAGCACCTTACCTTTGTCTGATCTAATTCTGTACCAAGATAGTGCTGCAATTTTGAATTAACACTATGCAAAAGGGTCCCTTATAAGATGGTAAGAAAAAAAATATTCAAAATACTACTACAAAATGAGAGCCTATTAAGAGGGGAATGATCACTGGAAACATTTCTTTTCCTGCGGTGCCTCAGGGCAGAAAGTGATGAGAAAAATCCTCAACAGGACAGGATGCAAAATATAAGCTAAAGGTTTTAACTCCATCTATTCTTTACCAATAGAAAAGGGAATTTACCAAGACTGGAGCAAACAGAGCAGCTGTTCATGAAAATAAGCTTTTAATTTTTAAAGTTTAAGCCCTGTTTCACACTGAATCCAACTTTGAAATGGCGTGACTTCAATTGAAGTCGCACGATTTCAGAGCTGCAGGTCAGTGTGATATCAAGTGCGACTTGCCTGACACCTGTGCAACTTCATGCACAGATGTCTATGCAGGCCACACCTGAAAACGCAATAGTGCAGGAACCTTTTTTTCACCCAAAGTGCAGTTCAGTTCAGTGCAGCACCGCAAAGTCGGAGTCATACCCATTTCAGCTGTTCCATTGCCAAACAATAGGGTGCAACTTGACATACAATTTGGAACTGTCAAAGTCACACCGGTGTGAACACCATGGCCAACTTAACATGGATGCCATTTGGTAATGCACAGCTGCTACAGGTTCTGTCTGCTAAAGTTTTGATAAATTCCTATTCAGACAGGTTTCTTGTAAGGGAACAGGGTATCTGACCCAATACTGCCATTAAGGGCACAAGGAAGTTACTATAGCAAATGTCAGATGCCCCTGGCTGCTGCACTGCAACCAAACTGTAGGCTGCACTATACTTCATGCACCTAAACATTCCAAACACTGGATTCTGTGACACCACACACAATGGAGATTAATTCTATAAAACACAAATGACAATACAGTAAACACCATGCTCACAGTTGACCTTAGCCATTACAAAACATATACAAAGTCCTTTACAAGCCAATTAGCTCTCCACACAGAAACGTGTCAAGTTTGAAGCCATCACTCTCTCTACAGTACAATTACATAAGGAGCAGCCAGGCCTAAAGCATGGCCACTGTTTAGATCACAAGAAATCAAAAGTGGGTAACGGCATGCCTTCACTTATGGGGATTATGCTATGGCTTTATATCACTACAGAAAGGAGTATCAGTCACCATCAGTTCAAAACTACTGGTTCCCTTTACTTTTAACAAGATGCACCATGTAGAAAAAAAACATTTTTATTATATATATATATATATATTTATTTATTTCACTCTAGATGTTTGATTTCAGATGCACAAATTGGTAACAGCCAGAGAGAAGTTATCAAAAAGGAGGTTCTGTGAATGCGGAATCATTCACAACCTAGGTAAGCTTACCATAAAGCAACAGTTTCGTATTGGCCCTTTTCCCATACCTCTGTGCAAAGTCAGGTCATGACATGGTTTGACAAATCTTGAGTGAAGGAATTAGAGTGGCTTGCAAAAAAGCCCTGACATCAATCTGAACATGCCGGGGATGAATTTGAGCATTGACTGTCAGTATCCGACTTCACAAAAGGTGTTCTTGGCTGAACTGCCCATCTCCCCAAAAGAGCAGAGGCTGTTCAAGTCAAAAGGGTCAGCAACCACAACGCCCATGATTTGTGAATAGAATGCCCTATGGCCTAATTATAGGTGTAATTTCAGGTGCCAATAACTTTTGCCCGTGTAGTTTAGCTGCCAAGAAACTCCGCTACCAAAGATCTTGGGGCCATAAAACTGCCATTCCAAAAAGACTCTTTCCTAAGCTTCTCTTGTTCGTTTGAATTCCTGTATGCAAAAAATGTAAGGGCCCTTTCACACTAGAAACTGCATGTGAATCGCATGTGGACCGGGGTTTCCCACATCACATTCTAGTGAGAAAGGGCCCCAAGACAAGGTTTTGAAGAGTTGGAAACACTCTGTAGTATCTTTTAAATAACAGCAGCCGATACTGAGCAAGCCCAACTTTTCAAAACAGCTGGCAGCCATATACAAGTAATCAGGCAGTCCAGAACTGCAGCAGTCCTAATGCCAAGTTTGGAGAGTAGTCAAAACAGTGAATGTGCGTCTTACATTAAATTACACAGAAATTCATAAGTTATACCAAAATGCAAGACTTTTGCCACACCTACAGTTGAAATAAAGGTTGAAGTGCACAAACTAAACTTGATAAGAAACACCTTAAAAGAGTATGGAAGAGATTATATTGCTTACCACCCACTGTATTCAATGCAACATTCCGTCAGGTCACAAGACGTAGGCCTTTCACATGGGCGGTTCTGCCGCTTGGAAATTCAGGTTTTCTTATTTTGAAATTCCAACACTACTGGCACAGAGATCACTTGCATTTACGTGCGGCTGCATTTAGCTGCGGTAGTAAATTCTTGCCTTTTCTAATGCAACTGTGTACTTGTTTCTTTGTACATAAATGCAGTTATTCGCAGTATGTTGCTAAATGCAGTTTGTGAATGGAGCCATAGGGATGCATTGTCTGCATTTA